TCTTCCGAAAAGGAGTTTGATGCCGGAGTGTTATAAAAGAAAAATCTCCAGATTTTAGATTTCCAGAGGTTGGCATCTCTGATTACATAGTGGCTTCATTACTCCATTGCAAAAATCTAATATGAGGCATTTACATTTACATATATCTCCTTGCAACATCTATAACAGACATACTTGCAAGCTACCCCCCAATTCCCAGTAAACAGGCCAGACCACATCACAGTAATCTCGTTAACCAAATTAACTAATTAATAGTGCAGGAGACAGGACCTACGGTTTATTCATCTTTATCCAAGAAGACTAGAATGTCTATCCATTTCTTGATATTATAGAAAGGTAGCACATTCTCCTCAGTTATTTTGAGACCTTGAGTGTTGGTCGGGCTGGGGCTCCAAAAGTTAATATGATCTAATATTATCACTAACTCCCAAATTGAAGCAAATATGGCACTGCTCTCATTGAAAATGTCGCATTTCAGCAGTTGGTAACTGTAAAGGAGGCAATAAGTAATGCAGCGTATTGTTAACATTTTGGCAGAATATGTCGTGCCCTAAAAGTAGGTTAAAGTACTTGTGGCCAACAAGCTTGAAATATCACACATTTTCTAGCTTAGAACGAATTTTTATTTTGCTCATATTTTACAACTGAGGATTTTACTGGTTTACAAGCTGCCAAATCCTACAAAAGAAGCCATATACATGTATCTAAATTTAATTTTTAGTAAGATTCCAGTTGGTTATTTTCTCGTGTTTACAGGGGCCGCAGAGGGGGAGGGGCTGGTAGGATGGTGGCCGCACCACTTTTTTGCGCCCCCGCCCCCACTTTTTGTGCTAAAAAGAAAAATGATTACTATGATTTTATTCCTTTTATCAATTTTCAATATGAAAAAAAATTATTTTCAATTGTCAGCCCTCCCACTTTACACCTTGCTTCGCGGTCCCTGGTTTACCTATCACCAAACTGCTGACACCAGTAGTCAATGGGCTCCTGTTGATACACTTTTCCAGTAAAGTCTTTTAAAATAATAGTTTTGAACATAGTCATCTATGACTATACAAATAATATATTTAAGAGGGGTAAGTTTTTAAAGAAACTGTGGTGCTGTTTCTGTGTGGGTAATAAGGTAATTTGGTTTGACCAACTGATACATATGAGTTGATAGTGTAAATTGGCCACCAGAAAGGATATCAAAGTTGACGTTTTGAGCATTAGCCCTTCGTCAGAGCAAATGCTATACAAATGATATACTACTTTTGATTAATACATGGTTTATACAACCATTTGTCTTCTATTTGCAGTCCATTTTGAGAAATGAATAAACATTTATTCATATACTTTTTGATTCTTACTGTAACTTAAGCTGGTACTTTGTTATTTAAAATGATTCAATCTTAAGCTCATAAAATTTATGCAATTTTAATTTTATGAACACAGTCTTGCTTATCAATTACACACTTCCCGGCTAGAATGTACAAAGTGCCTCCAGGTAACAGGTATTTTTCTGTCAATCATTTTGTAATATTATTTTGACCATATTAAACTTGATTAAAACACCTGAACCCTGTGATTATGCCTGTCTGCCACTATAACTCGTCCATCTTTTGTTAAAGCAACACCACTTGGGAATTTGAATTCACCCTCTCCGTCTCCTTCACTACCAAATGTGGCATAAAATTTACCATCTGGTTGGAAAATCTGCACTCTGTGGTTTTGGAAGTCACCAACAATGATAAATCCCTCGGAATCTATCGTGATTCCCGCGGGACGGTCAAGCTGCCCATCGCTGCTACCTTTCCCACCAAAACTTGAATGGAACTTGCCGCTGGAATCAAACTTCACAATGCGGTTGTTTTCTGTGTCGGTTACCAAGCAACTGTTGTCTTCAGTCACAGCCACATGGTTTGGGCTATTTAGCTCCCCGTCTTCATTGCCAAGGGAACCAAAGGTCATAATGTGGGTGCCGTCCATGTTAAAGAGTTGTATTCTGTGGTTATCTTTATCTGCCACAAGTAAGTTGCCATCTTTTGTCAACGCCAAACCAGCTGGATGATTTAGTTTCCCATCTTCAGGTCCTAAAAAATTAAAAAAAAACTCCTTGCTTAATTTGGCTTAGTTGATGAATTACAACTGAATGAGGTTTTCAGATTGATAGAAGTACGTTGTTAAACATGCTGAACATTGATGTTAAACTCGTAAACTTGTAGCAAGAATATCTTAGTTATCGAAGGCTTTAGACCCATAACCAACGGTTTATTTGTCGGATTCTCATCCTTTGAAACATACGAAAGTTTTGTCGAGCTACCAAAGCCCATACACAGTATGACCGGCTGATATTTTGTTCTAGGCAAAGTGGTGAAAATGTACCTCGTTTGTCCATTAAATAAAATATGCAAGCGTACTCTACTTCTACCGTTAATTTAAAGGAATTTTCTTGACATGGAGAGCTAATTTCCTGAAGTGCTATTCACAGGAATCGCGCTTACCTTTAGTTCCAAACTTTCCGATAAATTTTCCCTCGGGACTAAACAGCTGTACACGATGGTTATCCCAGTCTGAAACGGCAATTATTCCATTTCCATCTACCGCAATACCGCATGGATTCTGAAACTGGCCATCCTTACTTCCACGAGATCCAAAATCTTGAAGATGCTTTCCGAGTGGGTCAAACTTTTGAACTCGACAGTTGACAAAGTCTGTAACGTAGATATTTCCTTCTTGGTCGGTAATTACGGAGCAGGGTTGTTTGAATTCCCCGCTCTTTGTCCCTTGAGAGCCAATCTTCATGAAGGTTGGTCCAACTTTTGCGTAATCGATCCCTTCCACCACGTTGACGCAGAAAGGACTTCCTTCCATCTCACGCCCTCTGATGACCAAATGCAGATTGTGTTTTCCATGCGTGACTGGAGTGTAACGCACTCTCATGCTACCATCTCCATTGTTCGTGACTTTGTTTCCAAGAAAGAACCCCTCAGGGGCTTGGACTTTTACTTGCAATGGACATGTATGGCTGCCTTCAACCGATGTATTCCCGAAGCGGTCTTTTGTCTCGACGATAAAGGACGACTCAACGCCGACTTTCCCCGATTTGATCCCGAGGCCTCGAGCGCTACACAGAGCAGTGAACGTGACACTTGATGCCACCCGACCCATCGTGGTTGCCACGTTCTCCACAGTTTCCGAATCTAGGATGTAATCGATAACATCATTTTCTTCTGGTTCTTTGTAATCCAGTTTGATGTCGTTGAGTTCATCAAGACGATCCAGCATCAGTTGTCGAAGTTGGATGATTTCAACCTCATTTCCATGCAGAACTACATTTTCCACGAAGTCTCTGGAGCTGGTGTATTTGAAGAGTTCCGTCTCCAGTTGGTTTTGTTGATGGCGTAGCACGGCCTCTTTCTCTTGCTCCAAAGCGTCAACCTATTGAAGTAAAAATGCAATTAACTCAGTGCAAGTTAAGCAGTGGAGAGGGTACCATGTATCCTTGAATTCGTGAACACGAAAACGAAAAAAGCATCGAGGTGTGGTATTACTTGTATTGAATTAGCATTTCTTGTTATTTTTTGTTTTTCTATTGAGGAGACTAAAGTGTACAAGCGTTTCAATTTTTTGATAAGTATTTCTCGCCATTTTAACATCATTCCAAGAAAAGTATTGATTGTCCGTGAAGTAAGGTTCCTATCATTGCAAGTTGCAGAGTAAAATGAAATAACGCATTCAGATGCGAAAGAGGATCGTTTCTCTTTCAATTCGAAGTTTGGAGCTCGTGGCTTAGAGGTTTTGTGATTGTGAAATACAGTTCTTCATAATAAGGACCTACTCTCGCGTCACAACTAAATTTTTTTCAATGGTGTTGTTGGGTAACCATACTTTCTTAGCCATGGGGTTCCCATAGTCACCCACTTACCCTCGCCAGTATTTCTTGTTTGCGGCTGACAATACGCTTCACGCATTCTTCCGCCGTGCCACATATCTCACTTTTGACAGCTTCTGCACGTGCACGTAGCTTAGCTGCCATGGTCTTCACCTCGTGCACTGCATCGTGTACAGGAGGAATCTTCTCTTCGATGCAGAATTTAAGACGCTCGTCTATAAGAATCTTTCTTTCTTCGAGTGCTTCTTTTAGACCTAGAAGATTTTTTTTTGAGATTAAGTTGTAAAAAAAGGTGCACTCGAACCTGTATTAAGCTACGCTGTATTAAGCGGTAACCCCATCTTAAGCGGTCGGTTGTCCAAGCTCGTTAACAAATGGTAAACACCACAGGGTACACTATTGAGTTATGGATGGACGCAGGAGGTTGCTAAGCACGGAGGAAGCGGAAGAGTCGCTCGAGGCGATAGCCGATAGCGACTCTAGCTTCTTGAGTGCTTAGCAAACCTCCCAAGTGCATCCATAACTCAATAGTGTACGCTGTGGTGTTTACCATTTGTTTTATAATATAACATTGATACATTTTAGCTAAAGAGTTCCCCTTTTATTTAACAAATCTGACGTGACCAGAAAAAACAAGCGCCCGCGGAAAAATAGTCTTTACATTTGCTCACGTCAGCAGCGTACACCCATGGGCAAATGGGGGACGCTAAATTGACCAATCAGAGCGCGCACTTTCCTTTGGTTATGTTATAAAATTTGTTCCCCCTTAATCACTTTAATTTCAGTCACCTCTATTAAGCGGTCGTGGTCACCCTTTACTGAGTCCCAACGGCCTTTTTGTATTGTTTTTCACCCGTATTGAATGGTCACTTAAAGCTAGAACCACTTAATCAGAACTATGAAAAACTCTCCAAAAAGAAACGACAACTTTGAGTTTAAATTTAACTATGAAAAATCTTTCAGGTAACTTCGAATTCATTTTCCTCTTCTGAAATCAATGTTAGCTGTATTTTTTAGCGAGTTTAGGTGGAACCTCGCTCAACTTGCACTAAGCGAATATACCGCTATTCCCTGTGGGTGGCCGCTTTAATACAAGTTCGACTGCATTACCAAGCATTTTTCCTAAAAATTGCCGAATATATCATTCTATCCCTTTGGTGCACTTAGGGAAAGCATTGCAGCATACCATTTCTCAATTATCTGTAAATGGTTTGTTCCTAGGCGCTCTTTCTCTTTCGTAGTTGTTCGCGCGAAGTTTAGGAAGGAGTGACGTCATGTCTCATCTTAGAGTCCAGGCTTAACTGAGCGGAGAGTGTTTATTCATTACGCCCCACCTATCAATTTTATTTGACATAATTGTCTCAAACGAGCCTAACATATGTATTTGCAAAAGTTAAGAGAAGATTCAGCCCATAAGTCCTCTCAATTAGATTCAAAGTAGGAGATTCTATTCAATTCTTCATTTTAATCTCAATTCAAAAGAAGAAATTCCTTTTCGTTCAGAGAAAAGTTAGAAAATTTTAGACCAGTTGTACCTGTTTTAATCTCCTCTATCTGACCACAAGCTGCTGTAGCTGGTGCTCTTTTGACTATTGCATGTCTCTACTGTCATAACCTGTTGATGACTTTTGAAAAGGTGTTCTGTGATGTTTGGCTAAACAATTTTTTTTTATGCGGGTCAATATTTACGATAATTTAAGCAAATAGCCTCCCCTATTCACGTTTTATTGAAATTTAAGTTTTAATTAAACCGTTTTCTTTGAGTTTGAAAGGCGCTTAAGTAGCCTCTTGACAGGAATAAAGTTATTCTAGCGACTTTCCTTAACCTCTTGGAAAGTTAAATTTCATCTCAGTGACAGATCCACACGGTAACTTTAATCTGGTCTTTCAACTCAAAAGGTGCGTTTTTGATACTTGAAATGATTTCCGAAAAAGATTTGTAATGTTGAAAACACACTGAAATTTACAAGAATTCAATAAAAAACTTTATGAATTTCTGACCTATTCAGTTTAAAACGAAAGATGATTTCAGGAAGAGGAATATAGAGGAATGGGAAGTCAGCTATTATACTTCGTCTTCATTTACAGTCATACCTGTATACTTATGTCCTCGATGATCAAGAATTGTGCATTCCCGGCAGATTAGACAGTCGCAGGGCACACAGTAAAACATGAACATCTCGTCCGTATGTTGTTCGCAGAAAGAGGGACGATGAAGAGTCTGTTTGTCGGCTTGCAGTGTGTCAAGCGACAGGATGCGGTGGTCCTTCGTCACCCGTATTCGTCGGTGAGCCAAAACGCAGTTCGAGCACAGAAACTCGGCGCACTCCAGACATCGGGACGTCGCCGCTGCTTCGTCTTCGCAGTTTGTGCAGTGAAGAGTATACTCTTTGCTTGATTTGACTGACAAATGATCCAACGCGTTTGTCAGAAGGAAGTTGCTCGGGAGAATGTGAACTCCCTCGGACGGAATTGGAGTCAGCTTTCGGCAGAGGGGACAGACGATCGAGTTGGTCCCTGCCCCGATTACGTCGTAACTCTCCAGACATTTCCGGCAGAACGAGTGAAGACATTGCAAGATTTTCGGATCGCTGAAGATGTTCTCGCAGATAGGGCACTCTAAGGACTGAGGTGAATATTTCTCATCTTTCACTGTTGCCATTGTTTGTGGCAGTGATTTGAACAACGCAAGTTTTGCTCCTCGACTAAATGCAATAATTTTTTAATCACACTCTTTCCGCTTCACGCTCTGTTCAATCGACTTCTCGCTGACTGAGGTAATCGTATAAATTATTGATTTGCGTTTTCTTCTTTAATTAACTTAATTTAATTGATAATCTTCAAGAAAATTGCACTCGAGTTTTACGAAGTACTCTGATTGAGTGGTCTCTTCAAGTAGTATCGTCGAAACCTCCACCAGGCTTGGTTTTGTCCATTCCCTTTCGTTAATTCATTACGTGGATTTAGTTTTATGCATGAGCAATCAATCCTACGCCAGAACTCTTTTTATTTTTCCATTGATGTCCCAGAATATAATGTACTTTAGATTCTAACACTTTCCCTGCGCAAGGTTGCTTTTCGTAGAATCTAAGTCAGTCTGATATATCATTGACTTAACCGTGTACGTTCATTACCAAGACAGTCAGTTTCTCTAAGGAATTAGAGCGTGTCAATGTCTTCCTAGAGGGAGCGTGCGGGTACCGACAACATTGTTTATGTTTTTAAGAAGAAATTTAATTTTTGTACGTGATGGTGACTGTATAAGGGTACAATCCTGAGTGAGCCCATAGTTTTGGTCAGTGAGGTTGCTTAGCAACTCATGTATATACAAAAGTTTATATTGTACCCTTAGCCACTTGTTGTTAGAGCTTGTTATGGTTTCTGCAGCATGAAACGAAAGGGATTCTGCTACTCAGGTTACCCCCCAGCGTTTTTCTGAGAGTTTGCTATTGGCACACGCACTACTGAATTGAGAGGGCCACTGTCAGGGTACAGTGTCTTTCCCCAAAAACACAACAAAGTTAGCCAGGATTAGAAAGTGGATCTCTGAGTTCCGAACAACAGTTTAAGAAGCTCCTTGGGCTACTAACATTGCTCCAGTTGTGCTTAATGAGTTAGTTAACATCCCTCAGAGGCTCGTGATACTGATTGTCATTGACAGAGCTCTTCTGGATTGATTACCGTGAGACCAGACTGTTATTACAGCAGTCGAGGAGCCAATGAGAGCCAGCAATCGAGGAGCCAATGAGAGACAGCAGTCGAGGAGCCAATGAGAGCCAGCAGTCGAGCAGCAAATGAGAGCCAGCAGTCAAGGAGCCAATGAGAGCCAGCAGTCAAGGAGCCAATGAGAGCCAGCAGTCAAGGAGCCAATGAGAGCCAGCAGTCAAGGAGCCAATGAGAGCTTAAAGTAAAACTTTGAAATAACTTGAAGCGCGGGAAAACGCAAGTGACTTGGTTGTGATTGGTTTTGCTTTCGGATTTGATTGGTTTAGAGGTTCTGCGAGTTTTCTAGACCAATTACAGGGCGAAGTACAGCAAAACCAATGCCGTGTATACCAAGGTAATCCTGGTATGCCTGTATTGGCGGGAAAGCAATCTGTAGAACACCTCTGGCAGGCAGGATAACTGTGCGCGCTTTTACGTATACTGACCAGTCACATGCGTTTTCCTGATCAAATAATTATTAACTAGAAGGTACTCGGTCAATAGCATGTCCGTGGTTCGATGAGCATTGTGACAACATGGTTATCAAACATTTATTGTTGTGTCCAGGATTGAGAGGGAAATCAAGGGATAAAAACCCCAATCTAACACTTTGAAATGTGATCATGATATTTCCTCTTTTAAACGAGCACTTAAGTCAAATAATCCTTTTTCTCTCTAAGCTAAATTATTCCATTATTACAGCATATGCTTTTAATGAACATGAAGAATCTTTCACAGAACGTCTTAAATCTCGAGTGGATTTTGAGCCCACGTTCAAGATATAATTAAAACATCTTAATTCCCACTCCAATAGTTCTTAAATAAAAGAAGCAAACAAAAATAATTCAAACTCAGTTTTTAAAAAACTAATTTGGGGGGTAAGGTCTTCCTATCTGAGACCAAAACAAGTCTGTCATGTAAACCCATATCATTACGTCACGCCGAGCATTAACCAGCCAATCAAATCGCCCAGCACGGGAGAAATCAACCCGCTAAGTTCTTTGACGAGTCTACTGGCTTGTTGGTAAACGGAGCATCGAAAGGACGAGTCTTTTGGGAGCTCTTAATGTGATATCCATGTAATTATCGGGGAAAACTCTCCGCCAGTATGGGATCTGTGCCGGTGAATAAAATCACCGATCACTACCAACTTACTTGTGGGATTTGCAGTGAGACGTACAAGAATCCCAAGGTTTTACCATGCCTGCATTCTTTTTGCCAAAACTGTCTTGATTCTAGCATAAGGTATGAACCATCCTCTTGTAACGTTTGGAAGGTAATTCTAAGACATTTCCCTTTTGGTTGTCACCCACTGCTACAAGAAAAGTAGGAAAAATGCGAGGGAACTGAAAGTTGAAGACTTCTTTTAAAAGGGTTTTGGCTCTTGGCCTTCATAGCTTTGTCAAAGTCGTCTTTGCCAGTGCTTCACTTTATTAAATTGAAGTGTGTCATTTCAAAAAGCCATTTCAAATAGCCATTTAAGCATTTTTGTTGATTTATAGAAAATATTCTGCCTCCTCTTAAAAAGTTCATGATTCAATAGAAAAAACTATTGAGATAGAAAGTGATATTTAATCTACTTATTTTGAACTGTAGATGAAAGATCAAATGTTGTTTTGAATATTTAAACGCGAGAAGATTTCAGTAGTTGACGGGTACCAGAGAGATCATGGGTTAATTTTCTCGGCACATAAAGGTACATCATAGTGGAATTCAACTGGAGAGATTTCAAATGCTCATTAATATTATCACAAAAAATAGCGTCCAAATATGGAGAAACGTTTTTTTTTTTTTAAGTATCAAATGTTTTAAAGAAAATCTCATTCGCTTTATAGCTAAATATATGGCAGGAAAGTATTACCATGTTTTATCAGTGTTTTAAGTCACGCTCATTGCACCTTTTCTTGAAAGTAAACTTACCATGACGTACTTGCTTACGTTACTCGTGAAAACTAATTTTCTAGTTTTCATTTTTTTTGTCAAGAAAAGGAGGCGGAGAAAATATAGCAGTGATTTTAAGTTCCTAGCAGGGTTATGGCTAGTTTTGGAAACACGAAAAATTGTTCAGGTGCATCTGAAGTGAGCAGTTTAAAAGATATTTGGAAGTACAGAACTGGCAGAAAAGAGCAAATTTTGTGCGCAGGTTTGAATTGCGAAAATACTTATTTTTGTTGCAGGAAGACACTCACAGCGATATGCGTATATGCGTGTTCAACAACATACACTCAGTGATCAAACCATTTTTTAAATCGACGTCAAACTACTAGTATTGTAGAGGACGTGTAGAGCATGTGACGTAATGCCCGAATCCTTCTTCAGTAATATTGTTTATTTCCCAGAACAAAGATCTATTTGCTCTGAGAAGAAAAAACAATCGGTTAAAGCTCATTTGTTTAAATTTTCTTGAGTTTCTCTTTCGTTGAAGTAACCTTGCGTTTGCTCTTATTTACAAATATAACTCTTTCCAATCTGTTGGTTTTCGCCCCTCCTCGATGTAAAACAGTTAAATAAAGTTTACTGTGTGAACCGTGGTTACGATCCTTCCATTAGAAAAGATCCGCTTTACAGAATTTGACATTTTTCTTGGTAGTAATTTATATAAAGGTGATCTAAAATCTAGAGTTCTAATAAGAAGGGTGTCGTTCTTCGGGTTGTTTTCCCAACTTCTTCAAAGATTTACGGAAAAAATGTCGCGTCATTGAGCCCGCGTTAGTTTTGGACAGGTTGTGGCTAAGTATGTGCAGAATAGGATGCGCTGTACGGTACCAGGAAATCAACTCTAAAGCGCGGAAAACTTACAATGTATCTTCTCTTCATTTTCAGACCACAAGACCGAACTCTTGTTTGCTCAATATGTCGCCTTGTTGTGCCTGTTCCCGCCAAAGGTATCGAGGCATTTCCATTGAATTTTTTCATCAACAACATGTTGACAGTGTTAGCAGTGCAGAACCCAACAAAATGCACCAACTGCGAGGATAGTTCCCAAGCCACAGCTCGGTGTCTGGACTGCGTGGAAAATCTCTGTACAAATTGCGTGGTTGCTCACAAGAGAATTCGCCAGACAAAAGATCACAGGATTTTGTCTTTTGAAGAGATCCAGGCAAATGAAGTGAAGGAAATTATTCGATGTCCTTCATTTTGCTCTGTACATCCACGAGAGGTATAAATGATTGAAGAAAGATAATATTTGGTTTATAGAAATCGTCCTGTTTACAGCTCTTTTACTTTGGAAAATGAACAAAATGGTTGGTTTGTGTGCTTCTTATCACAATAGACTTGATGGGCCGGTTATTTACACAAGGTCTAACCCAAACCGCGGTTTTACGCAAACAGTGGGCCTTACGTGTTCTCTAAGAGGGTTGTTTCCATTAAATAACTGTCCGTCCATTGCTAGCCTTCGGCCCTCTCGACACTGTTCACAAGAATAAATGTCCAGATAAAAGATTCAGCTAAATTCAAAATAGTTTAGAACGCAGTATTGTTAAACAATGGCTCAACGTTCTCCAAATAACTGGTCCGACATGTTTTGTTTCAAAATTTAAGTCACTTCATACTTTCGCCCAAACATCTCAGGTACTTAAGTATTTCTGCGAATCGTGTGAAGAAGCCATATGCCGCGATTGTGCCATCTACGAACACAGAGAGCACATCTATGTGGATCTTAAAGAAGCTGTCAAGAAATACAGGTCATCTATCGCGGCCCTTCAAGACAAGACCAAACGCAAGATCCCAGTCCTCCGCGCGGCTGTCGAGGAGGTACATGACGTCACGAGAGATTTGAGAGAAAGGGTTGATGTGGTACGTGACACCATTCATAACACCATTCAGAATCACATCCGGGAGTTAGAAGAGCAGGAACGACAGCTCATTGACCAGCTTGAAAGCATATCCAGCTCTAAGGAGAAGGTAGGATCTAAAGACGATTATGGAAAAAGACTGGAATCCACATTGAGCTGTAAGATGATTCTGTGTTGCTGATGACCTAATGTTTTAGTTTCTCTCCATTTTTCCCTTGGGTTATCCATTTTTAAATCACACATAACGCATCGGAGATATTCTTAGATTTTGCAGCACTTTATCACTTTTCATCGTAATTTTTCTCTATAAAAATTCCTGGATCCCACGTTAATTATGGTAAATTGAAGTAAGGAAAGTGGCTTCTCCTTTTATTTGTTTTCAGGTTTTAACTTCTCAGCAGGAAATTCTGGAACTAGACTTAGCAAACCTGCTTAGTAGCTGCGAGTTTACGGAGAATGTGCTTAGGTATGGAAACGAGGCTGAGATAATGTTGGTGAAGCCGCAAATGGTCAGCAGACTCCAGAGCCTGAACGATCACGAGTCGCAGTGTGAACCAGAAGAAAATGAGGTATTTTATTTGACCGAGTGTTAACAGTTTCGTTCTAGTGCCATAAAACAACGAACAACGAAAAGAGGGCAAGAGACTGTGAGACGGAAGTCCTTTTTCCTAAGAGGATCTTTCATAACTTGATTTCGAGTCAGTGCTTAAAGTCGGCAACCCTCAAGATTTGTAAAACTTGGTGCAGTTTATTACAGATCCTATGACCTTTATTAACAAGGGCTTACCAAAGAAACGAAGCCTCGCTCGGGAAGTTATTCTCCTTGCTTGATACTCTCGTGCTTCGAGAGTCGAGGTAACATTTTCAAATGAGTAGGTAAATCTAAGAGGTGTGTCCTTTCCTCCACCCCGCTTCACCCCCTGAAATCAATGGTTCCTTGCCCTCTTAGATCCCCTGCCCACCCAGGAAGGATTGTACTCTCTGAACAATGTGAAAAGTTCATTGGTCGAAAAAAATCATCTATCTTTAGGTAGTGGAGTTCTCTTCCAGTGACCAGCAGCTCTCCAAAGTCATTGCTCAGCTTGGTCAAGTCTCCACCAGTTTTGTGTTCCCTATGCTGTCATGCGCAGAGGGTCCCGGGCTCAGCCGAGCTAAGGTTGGGCACAGGTCAACGTTTACAATCATCACAAAGGACAGAAATGGAGAACCATGTACATCTGGTCAGTTGATTATTATCGTTGGAAATGTAATTTCTCCCACAATGGGGTTGAGTGCTCTAGGAAAGGGAGAATCAAGTTTAGTTCTTTAAATCATTATTTCATAGTGCAACATACATTAGTCAGTGTGTCAGCTGATTTCATACTTCACTCTGTAGGAGGAGACGAAGTGTCAGTCAAACTTCACTGTCCAAACGGTCCGCCAATCACAGCTGACGTAGACGACAATGATGATGGCACTTACACAGCTTCCTTCACCCCAATATTTAAGGGAGATCACCAAATCACGGTTCACATCCGGGGTAAACCTATTCAAGGAAGTTCGTTTGACTTACAGGTCTGTTCTGATTTTTTAAGTATTTCTAAAGTCTGTTTTGGAAGCTTCTTTGAGTTCTTGTAATTAACATCAACCAGGCTTGGTTAGCTCACTTTGTAGAGCGCCGGACTGCCGTGTGCTATGATATCTGCAAATGGTTAGACACTCCAGACTCTAGTCTTCTTGGAAAAGACGATAAACTGTAGGCTCCGTTTCTACTCTTTACTGCTTTACAGGGAACGATAAGGAACTCACGCACTTCTCGCAAAGAGTAGAGAACGTAGCTCACGGTGATGTGATCTGGCCCTGTTCTTGTTTATACAGGCCCCCATTTAAACTAGCTTCAGAGCTGAACTGGGCCAGCCTGTCTTAAAAATTGCATATCAATAACTAAATTAATTCATTCATTAATCAATACCTAGAAAAAAATTTCGGCCCTTAAATCGACGCAAATTACAGACGTGAGTTGTTGAAAAAGGTAACCTAATGGATCGTAAAAAAGACTAATGTATTAAAAGCTAGGTTACGTAAGGAAGAGACTGAAAAACAAGTATTATACTAGATCCAATGAATATATGAAGTCCATATATTTGCGGTATTAAATACGTATGATGCACGATCCTTCGCAGTAGATAGCGCTATTTATGCGATAGCGAAAATCAGACCTGAAAAAAATCAGGCCTGTACGGGATTCGAACCACTGACCTCTGCGATTCTAGTGCAGCGCTCTACCAATTGAGCTAACAAGCCAACTGGGAGCAGGCCGTTAAGTTGATTCGTAATAAACCCGTGATGATAAATCAGATACAATGAATATATGAACTTCATATATTCATTGTATCTGATTTATCATCACGGGTTTATTACGAATCAACTTAACAGCCTGCTCCCAGTTGGCTTGTTAGCTCAATTGGTAGAGCGCTGCACTAGAATCGCAGAGGTCAGTGGTTCGAATCCCGTACAGGCCTGATTTTTTTCAGGTCTGATTTTCGCTATTGCATAAATAGCGCTATCTACTGCGAAGGATCGTGCATCATACGTAAGTATTATATTGTTTTGTACTCGCAGCCAACAAGATCGAAAAGAAAATAAATTTAACCTGAGGATTGTATATGTTTCAGGTCACGTCAGGAATAGACTGTGAAAATATTGGTCCAGTGATGTTGAGGTTTGCACCCAACAGTAATAAGACTAATGATGAGTATTACGAGCCATGGGGAGTGACTGCTGACCCCGAGGGGTTGTTTGTGGTGTCAGATCATCACAATCACCGCCTTCAGGTAGGGTGGCGTCCAGTGCGAAATCTTTGCCCTTGGACAACTATTTCCTTCATTGAACAGATAGTCTTTCTAGACAAGTACTTCAGCATATTTTTGAGCCGATTTTGGGCTATTGTTTGAAAATGCTATTGTTAGACATGGTAGAAAATTAATTTCAGATGTTTAGCAATTTTCCCGTGTGCAATTTTCCTTAAGGAGGAACGCATGGATATAAATCTTTGAATTCAATAGAATATACGTAGAGTTTTGGATCACAGCATGCTTTGTAAACTGTAATGACAAGTTATCGTGCCAAAATCATTGTTTATTCAAGCCCTTTAAATCTCGATTTTTACTTCAGGTTTTTGACGGAAATGGTCGCCTACTGTACCAGTTCGGCACGCGGGGTAAAGCAGACGGGGAGATTTGGTACCCAGCGGGAGTATGCCTAGATAAAAGTGGTAACATCTTTGTAGCAGATCATGGAAATCACAGAATACAGGTAAGATTTGTTTTTTATCATTTTACTTTGGGTAGCGTCATGTTTTTATTCTTTTTTGAACCTCTTTCAGGTTTTCACACGCGAGGGACAGTTCCTTCGAAAATTTTCGTCTAAAGGCAACGGTCTTGGACAACTCAAAGGTCCCTGTGGTCTCGCCGTAGACTCTGAAGGTCGGATCATCGTCGCCGAGCGCGATAACCACCGAGTGCACATCTTCGATCCCGACGGCCAAGCGATTATGCACTTCGGCGTGTATGGAGATGGTGAAGGAAAATTCCACTGCCCGCGACATGTTGCAGTTGACCAGGACGACAGCATTTTAGTGTCGGATGCTGGGAACTCGCGCGTGCAAAAATTTGACCGGAAAGGGCAGTTTTTGGCAAAGATCGCAGGAAAGGGAAACAACAAAGGTCAGCTCAGTTGCCCCGCGGGAGTAGCAGTTGATTCAGAGGGACACATCGTGGTGGCGGACTTGAAGAACTTCAACGTGCAGATATTTGATTCGGATGGTATTTTTGTTAAGAAACTTGGTGTTGCAGAGGAATCAAAGAATGCCAGTGTTTTTAGCAAACCCACAGGAGTGGCCATCTCAGGAAATGGCAATGTTGTTGTAGCTGACAGAGGGCATCATTGTTTACAAGTATTTTAATCTGAGGACAGATACAGCGGTTGACCGAGCGCGTGATCGGAAGAAAAAATTTTCTTTGTCTTTGAAAAGTCTTCTTTGTCATTAATAAACTAATGGAAGGTTTACAGTGGAGGATCCAGGGAGGTCCCGGATGTAGATCCTCCCCTTAAAACAATAGTTCTTCCAATTACAGGATTGCATGTAACTACTAAACTTGTAGTACTTAAAACGTAATTGTATTAAAATATTCTTTAACTTGTTTAGGTTCTTGTTTAAAAAAAAAGATTGTGTTTTCCTAATGCAAGTTTTGACCCCCTTCCCTTTCCCCANGTTCTCGTAATGCCAATACATAATCCATCAAGCTGCTAATAAGAATTGATAGACCGACCAGCTGGAGAGTTTATCACGATACAACTCGAAATTCTTTCAACAATTTACAAGGAAATGTAATGTATTTTGGAGAATTTCGTATCAGATCATAACAGTTGAAGGGTTAATGATGGCGTTAGGTGTTTTAAGGATAGTAAAAGTCAAACAAAAAAAAAATTGAAGTGAAAACATTGTTTATCAGAATTTCATTTAAGTGCGAAGTAGTTTCTCAGTCAGTTTTATTATTCAGTTTCTGTGATTTTGTGCAGAGGGAGGCTGGAGATGTCTTAGTCTAAAGTAGCCTTTTAAAGAAACACTGTGATATTGTTTTACTTCTTCAGTGCACGCCGAGTAAGTTATGAAGTAGGAGAACTTCGTCAAGTTTATGAAACAGAGGCTTACTGATAAACCTCTCGAAGAGAAAAAATAAAAATATAAAACGTCAACGTTTTCTTTCGTGGTTTAACTTGTTTCGTTGAGCCTTACTTTTCCCTTTAAGTTCCCACCTGGAATTTTGTTTTGAGTTGCACGATGAAAAATTGGTATGAAATAAAACTTTCCTTGAAAGCCTTTGTTTCCCTTTTAAATCACTGTAGGGTTTCCGACCAAAGAAATGCTCACTGTAAACAGTATTCATTACATCTGAGCGTCAGTCAGGAGAAAATTAAAGACCCAGACTGCATTTCCTTTCCCTGACAGTGACTTTAGCAAGCCCCCCCTTCCCCCCCCCCCTTCACCGAAGAGCGCCCTTCTCCACAATGCGCCCCGTTCGCGCATCTGGAAGCCCTAGGAGTTGTTCACCTCTTGAAGTCATAGTAGATCGTTTATGCATGGTATGGTAAGGGAATTAAACGCCTGTTTTTCCTTTTCGATGAACTCTTATAAAGGGTACCTGAAAGGCTGTATGGATCACTTAAGTTTGGTTTTTCGATCCTCAATTAAATTTCGCTCTGGATTTTATTGACTCCAAATTCTGACATCACCGTCAGGTTTTGCTCCATATCCTCTGTCTAGTAGTCCACAGATCACCGATTTTATTTTTACTCAGCTTTGCATCATGGATCCTCCCTAACTGAGCATGCTCACACGTGGATAAACATGGCGTCTTCCAGAGAGAAATACTGTTGTTGTGGCTTGTAATTGGTTCTTCTATTTTAAGATCTACCGTAGAGGAGCGAAAGGGATACCAGAAATCATAAATATTATTTCATAAATCGAAATTTTGGAAAACATGCGTCGTGTAGGCGCAACTAGAAATCGAAAACAAACTCTAAAAGTTTTAAAGGAACTCGACGCTTTCCCAAAAGTTCCTGAAAATTATCAAGAAACATCCGCTAGTGGTGGTTCAGGTGAGCAAATTTTAAGGTATTTTTTAAGTATTTGTATCCTTTCATATTGTTAATTACCTGAAGCAATATACGTGTATACCTTCATGCGATAACACGTATTTTCTTGGGCCTGCGGTTTATTAGTAATCGTTGCTTGCAGTAATTTGTGGATGCCATTCTGTCTTACGTTCTACGGTTGACTATGGTAGCAATTAAGTTTAGCGCTCTTTTTCAACTTGTAACATTATATCCTGTGTATTGCTGTTGCTGTATTCGGTGGTGCTCTAATTTAAAATCATTTTGTCTGCTTAGTGGAGGTATTGAAATGATTAACATTTCAAACAAGAGGAAGTAGTTATATTGTAATTAATATGATTACACGAAAAGGAAACTGTTGTTTAAAGGAAGTCTACAAAGTGCTTCTAATAGTTTTCATCTGCCTTCCTCAGGGGTTTGAATTCAATATTTTAAGGTGCAGAATACATGGAAGATAATTAAAAACTAAATATATTTTAATACCAAAAGAAAGAAGGAAATAATTAGTTAAAATAATTATAAATAATTATTATTATGGAGAGGTGTGTTCCACCCTGGAAAATTTAATGCTGGGGGATAACCCTGTGATGGACTAGCATCCTCTCCAGGGGGGAAGTAGAAATACTTCTAGTTGCTTCATGCAACGGAAACTGGAGTTTAAGTGCCAGCCTGATGGGCCACTTGGCTCATATACAGACTTGTTTTACCTTTATGGAGTGGTGTTAAGTTATTGTATGTCCATCTAGATACTCAATCAGTACACACTTAATGCTGACAATTCATGAAAAGGATGTTCAGTTGATAACTAGTAAATCTCAATTGCTACCTGAAATCACTCAGAAAAATGGGCTCCACAAAATGGAAAACAGTTAAGAGTTTATATCTGGTTTACTATGACAACATTCTCATCTACTGGTGAAGAAGATTCAAATGGTTTATTGAGTAATTGCAGTCACTGTGGTGATGTCTTGTGTTAGGAATGTAGGAAATTCTAGGATTTAATTGACTCTTTCACTCCCAGAAGTGATTGACATGGAAGTTCTCCCAATCATATCCATACATAATCCAGCAAATGGATTATGAGAATACTCAAACTTATCAGGTAGAAGCTGTTACTCATAACTAATGTACAAGTTAACAAGAAAATATGTAGCAGCAAGAGGGGTGAACTAACCACATCTTGAGAGTTCAAGGGTTAATAACCATAGAATAAATTTTTTTGTACTTTCTTGTTCTGCCTCATACTTCCTTTTGAAATTATCTTCCCATGACATTCTCACCCTTTCATTTCCAGTCCTAATGAACAAAATTTTTTTTCTTGAATGTTTTTCCTGCAGTGTCCATCATTATTTTCTTATTTATTGGAATTCTTGTGACATCTGAGTTCTGGTACTACAGAGGAGTAGAAACCAAATATGATTATGCAGTCGACACAGATGCAGATAGGTTGGTCTTCTATGAAGCATCTTTTACATGTAATATAGTTATCATTTCCACACCATGCCATTTTACCATACTAGGGTACTGGAATGGGCAAAATATGCTGTGACCTGGTTAAAATATGAATGAAAAGTGGAGCAGGAAACTGGCTGCATCAAAGGACCCAAACTTTGATTTTTTTCTTCCACTTTCAAGGCTTGACTTTTTAGAGCAACAAACTTTACTGCACCCCTGGTCGGTGGTCATAAAGAAAACCTTAATGGTTTTCATTTTTGTTGTTTTAGTCTTTCATGCATGTCTTGTGCAATTGATACGATGTTTAGATATTGCCTTAGGATGTTTTCAAAAAAAGAAGAAACTAGAAAAATGAATTAGGCTGGTTTGGAATCATTTTGACCTGAGATTTATTTCAAACTACAACATTTACCATTATGTTTATTGTACTTTTTTTTTATCAACAGTAAACTTCAAATAAATGTTGATATGACAGTAGCAATGAGATGCGATGGTAAGTAATTTATTTAAGAGCTCATATGCAATTATAACTTATTCTAGGCCTGTTGACACTTTCACCCTCAGGAATGAAAAATAAGTTCTTTCTCCTGACATTATTAATACATTGTGAAATATGAAGATAATAAGAAGAAAGAGAGAGATACCAAGAAGTCAATATTGTTTGATGCAATGCTGTAACAGAATTCTTCAAGAAAAGTGATATGAAATTGATAAAAAACAATTGGGAGAATTTATATCAAGATTTTGGAGGGGAAAGAGTAAACCCATTAGAACCTAAGAATAACTAGCATCTCATTTCTCCTTACAGTAATCTTTCTAAGTCATTCATTGAGATCATGGAAACAAATGAAATGATCATTAACCTTCAAGGAGCTTTAAATTATTAACCAATTCTTCTTGTCAGTGGCATAGGGATTATATAGAGAAAAGTGTGGGGAAAGATTGTGGATTCTGATATCAGGGTGTAAAGGCTTAATAAATAATAATAAATAATAACAACATTTTAACAGGGAGCCCACTTCACCAAAAGGTGCTCTTCAGTGAGGCCTTGCAAAGGGTTAATTTATGGTCAGGGCTTTAGAGAGGGCTGCATCATGGATATTATTTTGAAAGAACACTTGGTTCTCCTTGCTTCTCTGTTTGTCCAACAATAGTGTTATATCTTTCTATGGTTGTTTTTCAGATATTGGAGCAGATGTCTTGGATTTATCTGGCTCCTCATTAGAACTAGGGGACAAACTTTCATTAGAACCTGTGAGTTTTTTTATTGGTATTCTTTTCTTTTGAAGTTTAGTGACATACACCAGTATCATTCCAAACTGTTAGCAGTCACTCATGTAAGGCATGATACTCATGAATCTGCTCCATGTACAAGTTTGATATGCAGGGGAGAGGCTGTGGCCTAAGAGTCTGAACTCTGAGTTGAGACACAGGGGACCCAGACCCAATCTTGGCTTGGTCTTTCAGTAAAACACTTCACTCCCTCAGTGACTCTCTCCACCCAGGAATACAATTGGATTACGGTGAACTGCTGATTGTACATCAAATAATTATAGTAAATGTCATCTCTTACTTTACAGACTTACTTTGAACTAACTGAGGAGCAAATGACATGGTTGAGGTAACTTTGTTGTATATGCTAGGTTGATTTGGCAAAAATTATTTTTATTTGCTGATATCTGATTTTTTTTTGTGGAGATCTGAACTACAATTTATGACTTAGGTGTTGGAAAACTCTTGAAATGGCTGAAAATTTTATTAAACCAGTTTATTTTGAAATTATTTTTCGATTTCATACTGAATCTGCAAAAAAAAAAAAATCAAAAATTTTATCAATGGTTTAAATTTTTTTAAAGTAAGATAAAATCATGGCCTAGAATACTGACAAGCAATTGTAAAGTTTCCTTTTTGTGATTTATTTCAGAATGTTTCGACATATGCATGCATTTGTGGAGGGCTACAGAGCGCTGAAGGTCCTTGAGGAATTTAACAATAATGGACCCACCTACATGCCAAAAAGGTCTGAAAGTTGAAACTTTACTTTTTTTTACTATTTTCATTGGTTAACTAAGGCTCAGTTCAGAAGTTGTGCTTCTGCCATATGCTTGAACATAATTGCAATTAGCTATAGGTTTGTCTTTAGCACAGTAGAAACACAACTGTGATTCAGACTTTGGGCTAGAGTCATAATGAAATTCAGGATTTACTGAAGCAATGTACCAATTAATTCTCATAACTTCCTTTGAGAGTACAATCCAACAAAAATACTTTGCATAATTTATGAATTTTGCTTGTCTCAGCAGAGACACCAGAGTTGTGTAGGGCTGCAGAGCTTGTTGGACCTAATCACTCGCTGAACTTAATTAAAAAGGTTAATTCAGATGCCATGATTTTGCAAACTTTATTTCTGAATTGAGGGTGACACTGCAGGAGCATGACATCTGAACTGGGCCTCAGTCATTGAGAAGAAATTTAGTTGTTTATGGAAGTAGTGAAAATAACATTCAGTAATGATAAATCCTACATGTTTGATGATACAACACTTCATGTAGTCTTTGAATTAAAACTGTGAAACACTTGAGAGTAAAATCAATAGATGGTTAACTAAAAGTAAAGGCAGATAGAATGTGCCAAAAATTCATTAAATCAATAAATTTCACTTACTGTGTTAACAAAGTTTCAACCTAGCTTCTCAGTGGAATTGTATTTTTTGTCATTCAGATTTTTATTTTTATTCACCTTACAGAAAGGAGGGAGACAAACAAGATAAACCCCATGATGCTTGACGAGTCCATGGCTCCTTTGAGGTCAACAAAGTGGCTGGAAATTTTCACATTACAGCTGGCAAGTAAGCATGGCATTAATTATCCTCTCATTTCAATTGCATTTTCACAAATTTATTAGTATTGATTATGTTGTAATTATTCTTTACGGTATTGCTCACCAGTTAGTAAACTGGCATCTTCTTTTCTCAGTTACAACCCTGGAGGATAGCTCCTCAGTTCCTTTTTCAATAAATCAGAGCATGTCAAATGAAATTTAATCCTACATGAATAAAACTCAAACCATTTCTTCTCTAAAGAGTGTTAATTTTTATTTTCTTTAAGGTCCATTTATCATCCCAGAGGACATGCCCATCTGAGTGCTTTCGTGCCATCGGAATGTAAGTATCTACTTCAAGGAATTGCTGTGTTCTGACATGTGATGAGGCACCATCTTAAGTGCTATGGTTCGCTTTCTCTCCTTGGCATGTAGATGCACATGGTGACCAGTTTGAAAGAATGGAAAGAAAAAGTGGATGCTCATGGATACAATTAATCTTGTGTACATGAATAAGGGTGACTGAACAAAAATGACAGAGATCTAGATGGCTGCATATTGCCAAGAGCTTTTTTTTTTCCATTTTTACTGGGAATTAGTAGTATCATTAGCCAATCAGAAGTCAGAATTCACTTCACTTCAACTGCCTGTGGAACCTGTCACATACCTGTGATAATAGGAGAGTAATGTTGTAAACTTAGTGAATTAACTTAAGTGCATGGTCGCTTGGCTATAAATGTTTAGCCTGCGTGCTATTGGAAGTGCTTTGATAACACTGTGATCTTGGTTAATTTCCTTGCAGCATATAACTATTCACATAGGATCGATGCCCTCTCCTTTGGCCCTTGGGCAGCTGGTTATATAAACCCACTTGACGGAGATCTTGTTACAACAGACAAAAGTATGTTAATTTTTTCTTCTTTTTTTATTTAAGCAAGCTATTTTATATGCTGAAAGTGAGAAATCAACAAACAAATAGAAACATGAGCTGTGAATGCAATTGTATTCATGTTTACCATGCCCAAAATAGGAAACCCTTTTCCTGTTTTTTCCTTATTATGCATGGGTTCAGTTATTTTATCATGCAGTTTAATGAATTAATCTAAAAGTATTGGCTAGCCTGTAATTGTTGCAGAACTGGATGGGATCAACAACATTAATATATGCTGGCAAGAATGTTTTTTGTGTTCTCAATAGCACTTGCCCGTTCTCTAAAAAGGGAAATATAACCAGATTGGCATTTATAAGAATACCTGTTAAGCCTATTTTTTCTCTCTACATTCAGAATTGCAAATGTACCAATATTACATTAAGGTAAGTGTTCAAAAGTTTAGTTTTACAAGGTTGATTTCTGTGACAAAGATATCCATTTATAAGTGTGCATGTACAAGTCAGTGCTACTGTTGTGAACAGGTTCAAAAACACTGAAATGGAATGCACTAATTAGAGAGCTATTGTATAGTAGCTTGTAATAACCATGAGGTCCAGTAATCAGTATGTTTAATTCTGTACTAAACAGATTGTACCAACCTCGATCAAATCACTCAATGGTCAGGTTACAAAGACAAACCAATACTCAGTAACACAGAGGGTAAGTGACTTCTGTGCAGACATTATTCTGAAGCAAGTTCATCTCAATTTTGCTAAGCAATGGTGACTGTTCTATGTCCCATTGTAGCACACCCACATTCCACAATGTCCCATTATGGCACACTGAAGTAATCAGTGTATGTTACATTAATTTCAGATCCGAGAAATAAATCATGAGGCTGGAAGCCATGGAATTTCAGGTATGAACTTTTTTGTTATTGTACCTTCTCTCCTTTCTGTCTCATACACAAAGTATGTCAAAATCATGTACATTGAGAAAGGTAATGAGTTGATCAGCCAAAACTCTGAATTGGATGCCCCCCATTTGAGCAGCCAGCCCTTCTTAAGCATTCACCATAATACCAAATTCCCAGAATGTCTTCCCCATATTACTTCTGTCAGATTTAACCTCTGATGAATAGCTAAATAGTCCATTGGATTTTTCAAATACCTATGTTATTTAAATTCACCTTTGCTGACCAGTCATTTTGTTAAATTATGTTCAAGAAGAATGTTCTTCTTGAACATAATAATAAAGAATTTATTGCTAATAAATTCTTTATTCCTCTGTTCTTACATCAATTGTTACCAGCATTAAAAAAAAGTCATTTGCTTCACCAAACTGGGCAACCCAGATGACTGTTAACAATTCATTCATTAAGATATTATTTTGAGATAATGACCCTCTTTCTATTGTTATTATAATTTATATTGTTGGAGAGGAAGTAGCTTTGTCTTGATGGTCCATGTTTTTGTTTCTCAAGGAATATTCTTTAAATATGACATGTCATCATTAATGGTTCGAGTTGAAAGTCATCGCAGATCTTTCTGGGGTTTCTTGGTGCGTCTTTGTGGGATTGTAGGAGGCATATTTGCCACTTCAGGTAGGGACTTTCACTATGACTTCTTTATTACCAGAAGACCTTTTTTTGTACTTCTTTGCTCAAGGTGTGATAATAGATCATTTATTTTTTGTGTTTCACACATTCTGGTGAAAATTTGATCTGTTTATTGTTGTGTCACACCAGTCCTTGTAATCAAAATGTTACAAACTCTTAAATACTAAGGTTTTGTTAAAGTAACTGGCAGATCTGTTGACTTCTTTTACAATTTAAACACTTTGTTCTACTGAAGTCATCAATTTAAGGCAAAGTTTGCCTTGTATGTGGAAGGGTTATAGATTAAAAAGTATCTCATCAGAATTAAATTTTTCTCCCAAGCTTTCTACCTAATAACTTACACTTTTTGTTCCAGGAATGATGCACTCTCTCATTGGTTTCTTGTTTGATGTAATAACTTGCCAGTTTCAGTTGAAGAAAAAAGAGGAAAAGGTAACCATTAAGTACAGTGGCACATGTACGTCGACAATTTTTTCTTTTTAATCATTGCCCATGGAGAAAGCTTTATTTGAAATCTACAGCTTTAGAATAATTGTTTGGTGTTGATTTTAACAATTATAATAGACTAAGCTTATCTTAAAAATGCAACTCCAGGCCCTGGTTGTTTGAAGAGTGGACGATGCTATCCACTGGCTAAATCCTTATCTGGTGGATGGTGCACTGCATTTTGTGAACACACATCTGTTGGATTGCTGTCTATTTGTTGGTTGGATTGCATTATGCTCTCTTTGAACTACTGTGTCCAGATGTAATCTTTTATTCCAACACATCTGTTCAATGAATCATACCATTTGGCTCTTACTGCTTATAAAGAAAACATTTTAGAAACATTTAAGAGGATATTTAAATCAAGTGATCTTTACTGTCCAGTGGCGAGAGTTTTTAACTATTGACTGTTTTATGTGTTGTTATCATTTGTTTCAGCCCCTCACAATGTCACAGATTCCTCCTGGGACCACTGTAGTCCAACCAAATGGCGTAACATCTCAACAACCACCACAGAGCCAAGAGCCTGTTGTCAGCTTTTCCCCTGAAGGAGTAGATCCAAGTGTTAGTGTTGTTCCACCAGGAAATGTTGTGCAAGCAGACCAATCCTCAGTGATAACATGATACAAGTAGACTGATTTTAAAAATTTATGAAAATTAAGATTCTTATCCTCCTTCAGTTTGATGAAAACTTTGAAAATTCCTGCCTTCATTCCCCACGACTTTCACAAGGCTTTGTAGAAAATGAACTCCATTTTCACATCCTAACATACCCCATGCCCTTTCTTACTTTATAATTTTGGTTGATGAAACCATAATTACGTTGTTACACTCCCCCACTGATACAGCACCAGTTTCTTTGGGAACCTACCCCCTTAATTCCTCTCTGAGTCTGTTTTGTACTGGAATACCACTGCTTTATTACCCATCTTTAAATTTGTATCAGAATGTGAATATTCTGGTATCTATTTTTCGGGTTTTAAGTGCATTTTAAACCTTTGGAAAGAATTAAAAGAAAACTGAAATCTGCTTGACTGGGGGATTCTCATTAGTCACTAACACTGTGCTTAAAAAGGTGTTAAAGATGTTTTCGGTTTTTTATTATCTCAATGATGTTTTATTTATCGATTTATTTTCACCCCTTTGAGGTGCATGTAACAATTCTTCACCAACAACAAATTTGTGGTCTAGATTACAACCCCCAACAAAGGTACCAAGAAAGGTCAACACCACTATTATTTGAACAAAAAATGTCACAATCAATCTAAAATCACTAAAAGGGACGAAATTAGCCATGTTTACTTTTGGAAGGGAGCTCCCTTCAGGGATATTAACACTTTTAAAGAGGAAACGCAATGAATGTTAAAACAAGGATATCTTAAGTCCTTTTTCCAAGAAATGAAGAAGTTAGAAGATGAGTTTATCTGGAGTTTCAGTCTGAGGTTTACTTCCTCTAAGAAATTCAGTGCAAAGCTATGACAGTTATTTGTAAATTTGAAAGATATTGATGATATGATAATGGGGCCTTAAGGAGCAGTGCAGCATAATAAACAATATTCTGTCAGATGTAAACTTTATTTCATCCATCCTTGTGTAAATAAACCTCTAGCCAGTAAGTATTTTCACAAATGACATGTACACAAAACTGTTCAAAGCTCAAGATTCAAAGATTTGCCATTGAGACTGTACTGTATTTGCTAGTTATGTTTTAAAGAGGCATTCGATTGACTTAGTTCATTAACTTTAAACAGGAATTTCATTAAAAGCCAGTCACTTCATTAAAAGCCAGTCACTGGTGATCTGCAGTCCATTTTAAGACCTCATCACCATCTTTTAAGCATGCTCTAGACCCCCCCCACCCTGAGGGGGAAAGGGGCCCTCAGTATAAGGCCCTTCCTTGGGGCACTGCCACTTTTGACCACACTCTGGATTGTTTAGACCCTATGCTAGACAATCAAATTCATAAGCCTTGCTGTCTGGATTGATAGCAGCTTTTCCATATGCCTTGTGTGTACAATCTTCATGCAGTATCTAATATGATAAATCTTAACAAAATCGTTTTTCAGTTGCTATTTGCAGTCATTTCTTTAGCTTGTTTCTTGACTCTTTCCTCGTATTCCATTCTGCTTTGACTACAAGAATAAGAAAATGAGTCCATCAGTAAAAAAGAAATGTGGTAATTTATCCACTGTATGTCATGCACCTTGTTTTTATCTCTGGGACTGCAGAAAGGAGTTGATGGTCCTCCAAGTGTTTAGTTAGTATAACAGAATGCAATAGTCTATGATGGGATAGCAGCAGCTTAGCAAAACAACAAGGAAGGGTTGGACGAGGCCAACATAACCCACCCCTCCCTTGCTGATTTTCTTAACCTTTACTAGTGCACTACAATTCACTAACCTAGAACAGCCTAAAGGTGGGAGGCCAGCCCTCAAGTAAGTTTGTAACTGAGGTTCTTGATAAAAGATAGATTACTAGACAACTTGGTCTTGACATTTCAAATAGCTTGTACATCAAAATATGTAACGTAGCTGAACAATAAAACAATAAACCACCTCCCAGTTAGTTCAATGGATAGAGCGCTGGACTGTTGTGCGGGAGGTCAAGGGTTCGAGCCCGGGCCGGACCAACACTCAAGGTCTTAAAATAAAAATGAGGAGAATATGCTACCTTTCTATAACATCAAGAAATGGTTAGGTATTCTAGTCTTCTTGGATAGGGACGAATAATTGGAGGTCCCGTCTCCTGCAGGGTTAGGGGTAGGAGACGTTAATTTCCCATGCATGAGATTACTGCGTGGTGGATGTCCTCCCCTGGAGTGGGATGGGTGGGTTTACTGGGCCCACAGTAACATTGGCACAAGCTGTTGTGGTGTCCCTGCCTGTTGGCAAATCTAATAAATTAAATAACATTTCTCTGGGACTTGACAATACCCTGAACAAAAACTGTCACCAAGGGCTTAATAAACCCAAGCAACCTTCTATGTGTTCCCTTAAGTTGAAATATGATGATCAAACTAACCTATACACTACATACGCTTCAGCCTGTGCTGGCTCATTGAAGTTAGGTTCACTGAGCAACAAGTGAATTCCAAGAAGCACCTGAATGGGTAATAACATTTACATGACACCACAATCACTTGAATCACACACTTTGCTCCAAACCCAGAGGTCTCCATAGATCAATTCCAACTTTGGGGTAGCTAAGTATAATTATATCAGACTTGTCGCTTGTTACCCTTTGTCACACTATTCTGCTCTTTGGTACAACCCCACCCTTTCAGTGTCTGATAAGTTTACATGAAAAAGATGAACTGTTTTAATCTGTTGCCCCTAAGAGTAAAGCACATCTAACTTCTCCCAGAATCAATCACAAAGATCACAAGAATAATAAAAAGAAAATTAAGAAGATCTGGATTATAAACAAATTCTCCAGGTCAGCACCTTGGGAAAGGTATAGAGAGCAGTGTGGAGAATGTGTACCAGTAAACTGATGTTAAGATGTAAATGGTGTTAAAATAGGAATGGTAAGTCAATAGAGGAACTTGAAAAAATAATGACGGTAAGTTTTATCTTATCTCAATATAGTTTGAAGAGTGGGAAAATGAAATTGACTTCCATGTTCTTAGCCAACTCACGCATGTGGAAACCCATGGAAGTGATTCATTATTTAATATGAAACTGTTTTCATGGCCCAGAAGAATTTCACCACAAATTGTATTTATTTTCAACTTTTAAATCGCAGTGTACCTCTTTGGTGGTAATTTGTGGCTTCCAACCTTTATTCTTGTCAATCAGGGACAAGGAAACTTTACCAGATGGAAACACATTTGGATGCAAGATCACAGGATTGAACACACCTACCAAGCAATTATGTAGATACTCATACTGTTGATTTTAATTATAACATTCTTTCCAATGCACTCAGGCATCCTCCATAGTTCTTAGTCCACTGAGTGAACAGAAATCCTGCTACCTATCTCACTTCCGAGTGGAAGGTGTATAAGGGGTGTGTCGACATGCTACCTATCTCACTTCCCAATGGAAGGTGTATAAGGGGTGTGTCGACATGCAAAATGAGACCAGACTCCTTTGCCCTCCTCCCACCAGCAATATTATTTAAAAATCTTCAAATTCAGGATAGTTATGTTGACGTAGAACGAATAATCAATGATGAGTCGAAAGTTAAATCCAGTTAATAGTAGTGTACAACTTGGTGTGTATTCTTCTATTTATTGTCATGTGTTTCTGTTTCTGTATTTTTATCTCATACTATCATTTGTGCTTTTATTACTGATTTAATATTTAATTTCTGTTTCTTGTATATTTATTGAATCTTTTGTTGAGCCGAATTTTATTTTAGATGTTTTAGCGTCTACACACTATCCGCCAAGACTAGCTCTGCTATTTGTGGGTAGTGCGTCATTATGCTAAGTGTCATGTCACGTCTGATTACAATAAAATACAAACTACAAACACTAGCTTGTCTTGCAAAGCCCTCATGCAGCAGTTCCAATGAGAGCCTGTTTGTAGACTATATATTGTTGTACTTTCTTGCTGTGTTATGAAATAAGGGCTACATTGTATAGACAGACCAAACCATATGTTAATGCACTTAAAACTTAATTGCTCACAATAAGGTATACTGTACTTTTAATTTATTATAGTTTCAAGCTAAAATAAATTCAAACTAAGTTTAGTGTCCTTTATTTGTTAAAGAAACTATAGTTTTAGTCATGTATCTCAAACTAAAGGGAAATACAAATCCCACTAGTTTGAAACCATTTTGACCGTGAAATTTGCTTTGAAGTTCATATATATGCATGAAAATGAACAATGAAGGGAAAATGTTCGTTGAATTTACTTACAGTTAGGCGGAGAGAATGGATAGTCTTGAGGAAATGACAGCCCTAGCTTGTACATACCACCTTCCCACATTGTCTAATTTAAAGAATAATTATAGCTACCATTAACAAATTCATATTTCAAATAAACTTGGCAATGCCACTTAACTCAATCAGTGTGAGTAAGAGCAAGCCACATGAAGTATTTTTCAATTTTTATTCACTACACACAATCTAGGATGAGTAGAACACTGGGAGCACTCCAAGCTCAACCTTTTTCAAAGTTGTCAATTAACAACCATTAAAAAACTACTTTATAATAGGTCCACTCCCCTTCAAAAAAAATAGATATTTATATCTAAAACTCTACTTTATAAAAGTGTTTAGATCATAAAAAATTGCTACAAAACTGCTGAAAACAGGTTGTCAAATTAGCAACTTTCCCTGAAAATTTAGACACAAAATTTTTCTCAAGTTTTAAGGCAATCAAAGTGGTCTCAGCTTAGAGCACTCGTCAAATGTATCTATGAAATAACAGAGATACTAAAAGTACCCTGATTGGTCAAACACCCATTGTCTACTGCACCAGTAAATCCAAAGAAAACTGAAGGTGAAGTTTATTTTATAAATTAGCGATACACTGCACTTTCTATAAGTTTAATGGCCCAATTACTCACTTGAGATCTTGGGAGCACACTGGTTAAAACCCTTTAACTTCCATGAGTAACCAAGAAAGAATTTCTCCTTACAATGTGGACACAATATCAAGCAGACAAGTGATGAGAATCAAGAGAAATATATACTGACAGATTAGTAGTTGATCCAATGCTAAATTCTCTGAATTAATATCATAAGAATTGTATGGCAGACACTAAGGAGAATTACTATCGAGATCTCAAGAGTGAAAGGGTTAACAAACTTTTCTCCAGTAGGTTAATATACTGGCAAACTGACAGAAAGTGCAGTCTATTGCTTATATGAAAAGGTACCCAGCTTAAGTGACATCTCTCTCTCTGCTAATTTAAAGTCAATTGAAGGTGAATTGACACTGAGGGTAATTTAATTTATTAGCACAAATTGTATGTATACATCACTTATACCTTTTTTGGTCCTGGAATGGCTGTGGGAAAAAAGAACAATCAAGTTTTTTAAAATCAGGGTTCAAAAAAAATATCAGATCACTAACTTAATCATTTAATTTCAAGAAAGTTTCCAAAAATGATGAATGGCGAACAAATTAGAATTTTGTAACTTAATTTTGTAAAATCTCACCACATCTCCAGGTTAGCCAGTCAGTTTCTCCTCCGTCCTTCTCTACAGGATTAGCAATGAAGTCCTAAATATGAAGAAATAGACTGAGTGTTGATCATGAGGAATGGCGTTACAGCATA